CACACGCACATGCACACACATAACACACACACAAAGTGACAAAGTGGTTAATGTCTTTGCAGGTTGGTGTTGACATCGGGTATCTTATTGCCACAGTCCAAATAGAGTACTAATTACTGCGAATGATGTCACCGTAGGCAGAGGAATAATCCCATCATTTAATTAGTTGAATGATTTAAACAAAGATTTGCATAGATGCACTAATCAGTTGCCATGAATTACAGAGCAGCAGTTGCCAGCGAGGGGTAACAGATCATACAGTTGGAGGGAAAAAAAATCTCATCTCCTTGAACATAATTAATTTAATTGTCCTCATTAGCTGTACCATTTGTTTTGATTTTATTTCTCCCTTTCCCCACACATAACTTCTCCCTCCCTCTTTTCTTCTCCCTCTCCAAGTGCATTGGCTGAGGGAGGCACACACACACACTCACGCTGCTGTATTTCCAGAGTGCTTGTGGCAGAGGTAGTCTATAAACACGGAGAAGTGAGGCTCTTCTGAGCGCATGGGTGCGTGCAGGAGGGAAGCAGGTTTCGGTCAAGTTTGGCTTTTCCTCTATGTGCAGCTCAAGCCAGCAGAAGGGGGTTTGCTTAGCCTGCTGCCTCTGGCTCTGCTTTTCGGGTTCTTGCTCAGGTTGGTGGTGGCCGAGTTTCCTTACTACTTGGAAAGGGGACAAGGGGGATTAGGAATTGCTCATTGCACAGCATGCTTGTTCCAGGAACCTTGTATATAAAAATATATATTGCTGTATGTATATCTGTGTCTGTATATGTAGAGAGAATGCCTTAGTTTAAAAAAGGGAAGAAGGGGGGAACCTGTCCTAAACTTAGGCATTTCTAAGGCTGCTTTGATTTTTTTTTTCCTTTCTTATTAGAACTGCTGGATTATATGGGGGGGGGGAGGGTAAAAGGCAGAGTATTTCAATGCTTTTAAATCTTTCTTGGGTCTTGAAAGGCTTCGATAATATGAGTGTCATTCAAATTTAGGGTATATTGTAAGCTGACATGTTTCAAAGCTTTGTGGAAATCTAGTGTGGTGCTTCTAATAGCAGACAACAGATACTCACTTTGAAGTCTGAAAACTGTATTCACAAATTCTTAATCTGGTCTTTCTCCAACTGCAGATGGCTCTTGGAGGAAGATGCTTTGGATTTTTTAACTTTATTTACAGTAGGCTAGGTTCAACATCTTTCCTATAAAACATGAAGGAACAATCATCTGTGAGCGTGACTGTTCATCAAAGTATGACGGGTCCTGTCCGTGCGTGCATGTCTGTCTGTCTGTCTTGGTCAAGGATATTCAACACCTACAATACATCTACGTATGTGATTTTAAAAAAAAATTTTTTTTTCCCTCCACCACTAGGTAGAGAATAAGGTTCTATCTGTTTTTGGAGGGATGAGGATCTTGTGTGGGAGAAAAGAGCTTGTCTGTCTTGAGCGTCTGGCTTAAAAAGTGGCGCAGGGTGGTGGCATGTGGCACTCGGCGCCCAGGCGTGCGCCGGCCGGCGCGTCGTGCTCCCGGAGCGCTGTGCCGGGAAGTTGGACTCCAAGCCGGGCAGGAGGAGGAGGAGGAGGAGGAGGAAACTTTACCGCTGGAGTTTCCATTCCTTTATGAGCAGCTCAGATCTAGCACTGCGAGGCTTCATTTTCACCTTGAGGGATTTGTTCCTCATTACTCATTAATAGGGAGATATGTATCTTGCCATTTTTCCCCCCCCTCTTATTTCTTTTGCGTAGGCAACTTATTGTTTTGCTTAAGCAAAGTATTTGGGGAGGAGAGATGGCGGGGAGCGGGGTGTGGGGGGACAACACACATATCCCCAGGTCTGCTCCTGGCGCGCTCGCTGGGAAGGTGATCCTGAGCCGCTTCCATAGAGGTCACTTATGTGTGTGCAAGTGTGCGTGTGTGTCCCTGGTGTTTGTGTCTAGCATATGCATGTGGTTTTGCTGACTGCACTTGCAGGCTTGTAAATTTTCACCATGGGAAATTACCAACAAAGCCCAATCTGTCTCCTGGCTGCTTTGCACTTTCCGAGGGCGGCTGTACTTGAGCGAGCTGCAGAACGGGAGAGGGAGAGGAAGGGGGAGTGGGGAGGGGGGACAGGGAGAGGAAGGGTGGGTGGAGGGGGAGAGAGGTAAATAGCCTTAAATCGGAAGGGAGCTGCTTCTCTGTGGTCTTCCACGAGAGCTGCCTGGGCTCTGCTGGCTCAGTAATAACTGAGTGACCTTTTCTTTCGCTGTATTATGTCTGGCTGGTAAGGGATTGCATTTTGCAGCTGATAAAGCCCTGACTTCATTCAACTCGGCTCCTCACACGCTGCTTTAGGTAAGTTGTCTTCAGCCAGGACGGAGACAGACAGCCTTGGACTGCAAGATACTAAAAGGAGGACACCTGTAGCTCGGATGCGGTCAACACAATTACTTGGCGGATCCTCGAGGACCTCATTATTTTAAACTTAAAGAATAGCGATCTCCCTCCCCACCTCTCCCACCCCCTCTTTATTTTTTTTCCCCAAACAATGCTTCTTTTTGACCTTTCCCAAGGAGAAGAGCTACAAAGCAGCCACTGTGCTTATTGAACTGCCTCCCCTGTATCGCTTAATTGAGAAGGTAAGTGAGGCAACTGTGTGCAGAGGCTGTGGGTCATTTGTGTATGTGTGTCTGCATCTCTCTGTGTCTCTCCCTCTCTCTGAGTCATGAGCTGGGGCTGCAATACACGCACACACACACGCGGCTCCGCACTGCAACTTTCACTCAGGCTGCAGCTCTGCCGAGACTGTTTTGTTTAAATCATGTGAGGCTTCATTATTTTTATGATGAGACATGAAATACATTGCGAGCGGAGGATGCTGAGCGAAACCCATCCGACTGGATGCCTTGAGAAATCGCAGTCAAAGTTAACAATGAATTGCAGCAGCTTCCCCCCCCCCCCTTTCCCCTCCCGTCCCCCGGCCGGTTATTGTTATTATTATTATTATTCTTGCTTCTTCCAGAGCTTCTCGAGACGTGCTCTCAAATTACCAAGGGAGTAGGCTCATTTCCCACTGCCCGGCTTTAATCCGCCAGCCTCCCCGTGCAGCGGCAGTTTAATTTGCGCGAGCCTCGGCGCAGGCTTAACCCTTTCGGCCGACGGGGGGAGGCAGGAGCAGCCCGCGGCCGGGGGCGCGCAGGGGCGCGCACGGGCGGGCGCGTTGGGGCAGCGGCTTTGCAGAGGAGGAGGAGGAAGGCAGGCAGGCAGGCAGGCAGCAGGCTGGGGTGTTATGAAACAGGAGTTCTGTTATGATTTTTTTTTTCCCCTCCTCCTTTCATAGCGAGCACGCCGCGCTAGGGCTGCGTGTGACAGTTTAATCAAACCCATTTGTTGCCAAAAAAAAAGGGGGGGGGAGGAGGGAAAAAAAAAAAAAAAAAAAAAAAGGAAAAAGGCTGCGAGGCCGCCGGGATTAGCGGATTAGGGGGCAGAGTTGGGGGCGCATGTGGCTGCGGGCGCCGGGCGCGCAGTAGCCGCGCTCCGCGGAGCCGCTCGCCTCTCCTGCCGCGAGCCGGTGCTCCCCGGGAGCCCCCGCGAAGCGACTCATGCAGAAAAAGAAGAAAAGTTTCGGTAAGGTCGCGGTCTCTCTTGTTTATCTGTTTTTTTATATATATATATATTTTTAATGCGTGTAGTTAGCGCGGAGCAACCGCCGTGCCTTGGAGTAGCGCTTGGGGGGCGCAGCTTGTTTCTCTCTCCGGTGCTGAATGCGCAGCGAGCGGTGCTCGGGGTGGGGGGTGCTCCAGGAGACCCCAAATCTGGCTTCCCCGGACCGCCCTGCCGGGCTGCCGCTTAAACCGATTAATCTTGCGCGGAGCAGCAAAATATCGCCACATTCCCCGCCGCTTCCCTGCGCTCCTCGTCCCTGCAGCGCTTGGAAGGGAACCGGCACAAAAGGCTCCGAGCGTCCGGCTCCGAGAGGGATTCTTTGTTGCAGAGTGTATGTTTCTTATTTATTTATTTATTTATTTTATTTTTGCATGTGAGCTGCATCAGAATTGAACTCAGTCTTGCAAATCTCTTGTTGGCCTTTGCCAAGCACTAGCACTTTGCTGCCATGGTAACTGTAATTAAACTGATAAGAGTGGAAAAATGTCAGTATCTCTGAGCCTTGCAGCTGCATTGGAGAAAAAGGGAATCAAATTGGTTCCCAGCACCACTGCTCTAAAAAAGGCGGGGGGAGGATATGGGGGGCGAGGTGGAGGGGGGGGGCCACGACAGGGATAGGAACATAGCTAAGCAGCTCTAGTCCCTGAGATCTGGGTACATCTATTTGCTGTGTTGTCCCTTAGGGGGCTACAGCCTGCAGGGATGCTCTGGGCCAGTGAACAGAGAGAAACAAGCTTTTAGGCCCAATCTAGCTTTCAAAAAGAGAAGGGGAAAGAAGAAGAGAAATCTTTTGTTTGGTGTCTCTTGGCAATCGACTAGCCATGTTGGCCAAATTCTTTTAATCTGTATCACTCTGCTCCCAGCTGCGGGACTGCATTACCCCCCTTCCTTTAAGTATTTTTTCTTTTAAACTAACCTCTTCCTTTTTTTTTCCCCTTCCCAATGCACATCTTAAAGAAAAAAGAGGGGAAAAAATTCATATTCCTCTGTAGAAGGGGCAGGAGGTGAAGTTGAGCTATTTACTGTGGGGAAAATTAACTCAAAAGTATACCGAAAAGTCCATATTCAGGGTGCTAAAAACCTTGCTTTTAATTTTTTTTTTTTTTTTATGGGGGAAAAAAAAAAAGCAGAGTGTTATGGAGTTGCGGTTACTTTGTTGTGTTAACTACAGAAGCTGAGCCTGTGCGGATGAATGGCACAGAACAAGAGCGCATAATGGAGGCAATCAACCGTTGGGCTGCCTCACAATGCAATCCGGGCAATTAAAAGCTCACCAGAGTTTAAATGAAATGGCTCTACTTATTTCTGTGCACCGCACTGCACAGGCTATTATTTATGTCTCTTTTTTTAATTATGATTTCCCTTAAACTGTCAAATAGCTCAGAATAGCAGGGTCTCGGAGGCAATAAGAATTTTCCACAGAACAATTTAAGTGCCAATCTAAAACTAGTTACGACTCCTGATGTGCTGCACACAAGTGCTCAAACATTTCTTTGCCTCTGAAACCTTAACTTTTTCTTTTTTTAAGTCTGTGTCTGTATTGCCCTGCATAATTAGAGCACTGGATGCTTTTAGGGGGAAGCTACCAAGTGGGAAAGTGTCTGAAAAGTATTCTTTTTATCTTCTGCTGGATCTCTAACTCTCTCGTTGATTGCATATTGTCTGTCAGTTTGCTGTGCTCCAGAGATCAGTGCACTGATACTTAATTTGCTCCAAAATGATTTCTATTTTTCTTAGAAGTAGAGGCAAGTTGTCCCTTTCTTGCAGCACATCTTGCTGTCCTTAGTAGGAACCGTGTGTGTGTGCATTGGTGAGGGAGAGTGAAGAAGATTGGGCTTTAAAAGTTTTTAACCCATCTAGTGCATGATAATATCCACATTTTCCATCCTTAACTTGTCTTTCAAAGACTGTTTCAACTATAAGCCAGAAGCTGTTCTGAAAGTCTTGTGCGGGACGCGGCGCAGTCAGGGAGCACTCCTGGTCATGGACACTGCTCCATCAGTGACAAAACATAGTTCCCTTATTCCGGGTCTCATTCTTCTGGGTTTTGAGAAGGGTGACCATTAGCGCGTGTGTTGTTATGGGTTGGTTTGTTTGTTTGTTTTTATATATTTGTGTGTCTGCTTTTCTCCAGGAGGCTAATTTAGCCTTTTCTTGCAGTCTTTCCTCTTTATCCTGAACTTCAGTTGGCTGACATGACAGCGTTTCATCACGCAGCAGTGACAGTAAGGAGGGGTGGGAGTCGGTTGTGTTGAACATCTTGCTCAGGGTGAAAGCCCAAGCTCTGTAAGTCAGGTTGCAAAGATCCTCCTTCAGCAATCCTAAAGGTGCTGACTTAAGACGTCCTGTGCTTGACACAGCTCTGTGGTTCATTCGTGGAGTCTTGGGGAGGGGGTGAGAGAGAAAGAAAAGGTGAAGCTGGAAAAAGCTCTTCAAAACCTACTGGGGTGAGATGAGAAGGGTTGCTGGGACACTGACATTTGCTCTGAGAGCAGCAGAGTAGGACTCCGCAGGCTGAAGGAAAAGCCAGAGGAGAATTTTTTGCAGTTTGGGTGCAGCACTTACCAAATCACAGGTTTTCTGCAAGTGCTGCACGAGCTCTGCCCTCACAGGGGAGCGGGGAGGCAGGCGGCCGTGCTGTGCACCACTGCTGATATTTCGTCAGCAAGTGGTTTGGATGGTTTTGTGGGTGCTGTCAGCTGCTGAAAGGGTCCTCCTGCCTGTGTCCTAAGGAGTAACTGAGGACTCAAACGGTAGCCTGTGAAAAGCTAAAAAAGGGGAGCTGCAGGTGTTCTCTTCTCAAATTCAGAGGGCACTAAAAATACGCAAATACATTTTATGTGGAAAGTGTAGCTGTGCTGGAGGTGTTAAGGGAGCACTGAAGGGAGTCTGTGGGGTGGTCGGCATTAAGGTGGCTCATGCTACACAGAACAAAAAAGTCATCAAGTATTCTGCTATCCAAATTAAGTGATTTAATCTGAGGCATGTAAAGAAGGGCTCCTGCAAAGAATTTGGAGATGAGTAAAACACTTCTTGGAGTACTGTTTGGTGCTTTGTGGTGTTTCGATATTTTCTATGCTTCAAAAATAAGTGCAGCTTTTTTTTGTATGTGTATAATAGTAGTTTTGTTAAGTTTTCATTTAAATAAAGGATGCTTGATTACAAGTAAAATGAGAAAGGAGCCAAGGAGCAAAACACTTTTTACCTCCAAAAGCTCCATGGATTGAATCCTTGCTCTGTAGATGCTGCCAAGGGCTGGCAGAACCACCTTCTTGCTCAGCCTCCAGAAAGCCAGCATGAAGGGTGGCTCTCACCACTTCCAAGGGAGACAGTCTCGCTCGGCTCGTCCATCCAAGGAGGATTTGGAAGCAGGGAATGGGAAAACCACTTCTGCACCGCTTTGCCCCCTCCCCTCGCAGCATTTCTGAAGTGGTGCAGGGGTACCTGTGGGACCATGTGAGCTGGCATTGTAGGATTTAGAGGAAACCCTGTGCTTGCAGGGAGTTGTCAGGCCGTTTGCTCAGGTACTCGCTTCTTGAGCCTTGCTTCCATTGCGCTGTGCTCACATCAAAGGTACAGGGCAGCAGATCAGCCTGCACCACAGACCATCAGGCTCCATTCTCTAACCCAGTTCCTTATCAGGTGATTCACCTTATCAAGTGGATTTTTACTTTTTTTTTAAACTTTTTTATTACATTTTTTTCCCTTCCTTTTTAAGCTGCGCACTGTATCAGCTCCTAGCTTATCCTGGATTCCATCAAGCTAAAGATTAAAGCCCCAAAGCAGTCCTGCATGCCTCTGAACTTTTTTTTACCAAGTTCCAAGAGGTTGATATAAACTGTAGCCCATTTTATATGTTTATGCTCTCCATGTGGAGAAAGAGAGGATCGGGGATAAGCATGTTAGCTCTTAACAGCTATTTACACTTTTCTGTTTTACGCAGCTTTACAGGTTGAGATTTTTCTGCTGTGTGAAGATGTGCGAGATCCAGCAGGACTTCCACAGTCAGCTTTAAGTTTTGTACCATGAATCTCCAAATGCTTTTAGTCATTTATTTATGGCCATGTTAGCGTGCCGCTGTGTGCTTGCACCCTGGATTTAGGGGAGACAGTTGGTGATTAAAAACATTACAGAGACTCAGCCATTGCCTTACGGCACTTGCTTGGGATGAGGTGGCTCTAGGAGACCTCTGTCTCTCCAGAACCAAAGGGTTAATTGAGCAGGAGAATAGATTGCTCTCCAGTATGTTATGGTGCATTGCAAACGAGGTACCAGGGCTGTCGTAAATGCATGTCATGGTAAGAATTGTTTATTTTCTAATTTAGCAACAGTTGAGACTCAGAGGTGAGGCTCAAGAGTTGAGTTTTGTAACTAAAAATCTCGTAGGGGCTCCACGGTCAGTGTGGGCCACATGAATCCAGTGTGCTCCGCTTATGTGTGTGCTTGCAGATCCCCTAGAAATTTCAGCTGCTTAGCTTCTCGTCTTCATAGTGCTGATACCCATAGAGAGCTATGCCATTGCTTCAAAGATCACATTTGTTTTTCTGTTTTCCTTATGAGAACTTTTTTTTAAAAAAAAAAAAAAAAAAAGAACAAAACCTCTTCGTGTCCCAGCTACCTGCAACTGCCTTTTCGTAGTAGTGTATTACAGCATCAACTGAGATCTGCTGATAAAAGCTGGGTCTAACAGCAGGTAGTGGAGCATTCTTGATGAGGAGCTCTTGAATTTGCTTTTCTTTGTTGCAAGACTCTGTCTGACCTCTTCCAGCCTCTGTATAAGAGGTGGGCACCATGCACTAAATTTGGGTGTAGGATTTTTCGTGTTAACAAAAGCATATGTTTCCCAGTGTTGGAAAATTCTCTTTGTAGTGGTAAGATGCACTGTAATGAACAGCTTTTTCAAAGTTTCATCTGTGCTTGCCTAAAAACAGTGTAATATCCTAATAATCTAACTGCATATTAGTTCCGTCTTTCTCTGATGCGTGTCTGATGTTAAAGCAAGCATCTGCTGGGCTATGATTTTTGCTTCTTCTATTCTTTAAAAAAAAAAAAAAAAAAGACTTTTAGAGGATTGGTCTAAGTGTAATGGGATAACAGTTCATGAGATTAACCAAGAGAGATCAGTCTGTAAGCGCTTTGGAGTAGTGACCTCTTCCCCCTCTTTACTGTAAAACTGAGCGCGATTGACTTGGGTATGGATCTTTGGCAGCTGACCGCAGTGTTCAGTGCACAGCCGCTCTTCCACAGCCACGCTGTGCTGTCACCAAAGTCTGAACGGATATCGAAACGCTGCTTGCTGCTAACTCGGGAGGTGAATATACCTGACACCACTGTACCTTTTGCCCCAAACTAGCTGTTGGTTAAGACTAGGATTCAAATGTAAGAGTTGGATTTTTATTATTATTATTTTTTATATATATATATATATATATATATAAATAACAGTGATCAACTAGTAAGTATCTGACCTTGTGCAGATTGTATGGAATCGGATTTTTCGGATATTCATTAGGCTTAAGGTCTGAAGATGCTGGTACTGCAGTCTCTGGAAATGTAATTGCTTCATTCATGTGCATTACAAGGACTGAAATTTTAAACAACAGAACAACTCATCCTGTCCTCCCCATCCCCAAAAGTCACGTCCAACCTCCCTGAAAATCCATCTTTCAGCCTCTAGTAGCTTCAGTCTTTCCATCTTTAGAATTGGGAATGCATTTGTATGCTATAAAGATGTAAATAGATCCAAATATTTAAGTTTATCTGCTTGTTATCACAGATACTGTTTAAATCACTGGTCACTAGACATTAGATACACTGAGCAAAAGTGGATGACTTTTCAATTCAGCTGTTGGTGCTGATTTATATTTTAATTCCTCTAATCATATTTCCTTTCAGCAAAGAGACCAGGTAAATGAGGTGTTTAAGAGAAGCTGTGCAACTTGGACCAGTGGACATTTCAGCTCTCAAATTTAACTTAATAACGTTTTCAGCTTGCTGTGGACTATGTAGATTATTTCACTTTATCTACGTGATTGCCTCTTTAATGAACTGGGTGTGTATGGGAGTGGAAAGATGAAGAAAGAAAAGAGATGGTCTTGTGGAGGAGTGTCTTGTTTCTTACTCTTCTCTTGTCTTGTTTCGTTGCAGGTATACAAATGCTCTCAGTCCAGCCAGACACCAAGCCGAAAGGTTGTGCTGGCTGCAACCGTAAGATTAAAGACCGGTATCTCCTAAAGGCCCTGGACAAATACTGGCATGAAGACTGCCTGAAATGTGCCTGCTGTGACTGTCGCCTGGGGGAGGTGGGCTCCACGCTGTACACCAAAGCCAACCTTATCCTTTGCCGCAGAGACTATCTGAGGTAGGCCATGGCCTTCTTGCCTTCGCTGACAAACTCGGCGATGCTGTTCGGTTTGACAGTGCAACATTAGCAATGCTTGATGTCTGTAAGAGAAGAGCATTGTGTTTGGAGCACAGGAGAATAAATACTGCAGTACAGAGGTCGAATTAGAATCCACAAGTCACTTTCTATATCTCGAATCAAAAGCCACACACAACCAGGTCTCTCACAGCTGCTAATTTTCTGATGCTCATACGAAGGTCACTTTCCTAGAGAAAAGGAGGAAGAAGGTGTTCCCTTCAGCCTTGCCTTTCCAGGGATCCAGTTGCCTTTTAAACACAACATGGTGTTCAGGCATGATGACTAATACGATAGGGTCTGTCTTTAGACACCGTGAGAGCAGGATTTGAACTCTGAGGAGGACTTGATACTCCTTAGCTTATGCATGTTTGTCCTCATGGTTTACCAGAGGGATTTCACTTATGAATATCGTTATTTATCTATTTATCTATTAGAGGCTGGTCCAATGTTGCCAACATGCTTTTCCCCCATGTTAAATAACTGTAGATCTTAGGTGTATATATGCACTTTGGTCTTCGTACAGCTTGGTGACCTTGGTGGGCCACTCTCGAACCTGTTGCTGCTTTTCAGCCCTAGCAAATAGTCACTTCTCCTTCTAATCTCAGTTGCTTATGGACCTGTGATCCTGAGTTACAGAAGAAGTTACGTACGAAGTTATGAAGTTCTATATGAAGTGTAACTTGTAGCTGAGGCAGTAGTGAAGTAGATTATCATCAGAGTGTATATGAATAAATAGGGCTACTTGTGGAAGATCATTTTAATCTGGGACATTTATTCTCCCTTGGCTCTCAATAGTAAATAGAGTAAGAAGCTCCTTTGGGGTGATTCTGAGCACCTTTTTCATATAGGAGCACTTCTCCTCCATTCCCTGTAGAGGAGGCCTAATGAGACTAGCTGCCTTGGGCTAACATGAACTTCTGGGAACGTTTCCCTTGCCATTGTAGTGAAGCCTTCCTTTTAAAGGGACACTTAAGTGTGTAATAAAGCATTGGGTAAAAAATAAAGTTTATTTCTGAATATGTTAACTCACAAGTTCAGTTTTAGCACAGGACCAAAAGGTGAAGCTGCTATGCAGTTAGCAGTTCCTAAATTGTACAATGTGGGCCAGCTGGGATGGAAATTAAGATTAAACTGTTACCAGTATCTGGTATTCTGGCTTTCTGCGTTACATTTTTTTTTTCTCTCCTTCGCTAGAGTGGAATAGCAACAATAACAAAACTATACACTTGCTTTCTACTTCTGTTGAGGTGGATGTTCAGGTCTGCAAGACAGTTTAGGGTCCTCCAAACACACTCATGGATTACTGAGTGGTGAAAGTGCTCTGTTAGCCGTTCAAGCTCTTCAAGCAAAAGGAGCACAAGGTACATTGTTGGAAGTGAGCATAGGGGCTTCACCTTAAGGTTACTGCATTAAAGCTGCCAAAGAAGTGACTTTCAGAACCTTGTTTAAAAAAAAAAATAGGGGCAAAAGTTTGAAAAATAAGTAGAAGGGAATTACTGGGCAGAAGCAGAGGTGATTTGTGACTGATATTCAGGCATGTGCATGTTCACAGAGGCGTAACAGCTTCTGGGAGAGGGTAAGGCTTTCCCTAATTTTTCAAATGTGTTTTAAGAATCTTTTCTTCTCACAAGTGACTGCAGGAGTGGAACAACTCTGCTGTGGGGATTTGATCTGAGGCCTGAATTTGCTGGAGACTTTGAACTTCCTGAATCTCACAAATATTAGTGCAGTGGATCAATGTTTTAAAATAAAGAAGAGATGTACTAATATGGGTATGAGTGAAGTGTTTCCCCACCCATGCGAGCACACACACCCACATCCCATGACTTTAAGGTCTCGAAAGTCTAGCAGGAGTAAACAATTCGCTAACAGATTTTTGAAAACTCTTATGTACAGAAAAGAGACCGTTTATGCTCAACCCATGACCTTATTCAAAATGAGCATTTAGGTTAGTTGTTCACAAGCAATAATTGGACCAGTGAAAACTCTGTCTATCACAGATGAAAAATCCTGTAATTGACTTTAAGATATTTCTGATTTGTCTCTAGATTTATCAAGTCTTAATGAAGCTATTTAGTCATGAGCCTTTTTTAGTGATTCGTGTGAGTGCATAGATTTAAACTTGGTATTTACACTAAACTTCAAACTGATGCACTTAAGGTAATTGCAGATAGTCATTTGCCTCATTGCATCTTATCTACTTAGTTATGCAGTGAACCTATAAAAGTGATCTTTTTAATGCTAATGTAGAAACTAGTTAAATGTTCTCTAGCTTTGTAGTCAAATAAGCTTTCATATTTAGCAACCTCCTTGACACGAATTTAAAGAACAAATTGCTTTGTACTAATGATCAGATTAGGGTTTGATTATAGTTTCAAGCTGTCCATTTTTTCTTTTCTTTTTTTTTTTTYTTTTTAACCATAAAGGGAGTCTTTGCTGCATGTAAAACTGTTCAAGCTTCCTATTAATTTATGTGGTGCCCTCTAGAGGATATGTGGCTTGTATGATACTAGAAAGAGTAAAATTGCTTATTAACTCATCTCTCTGTGTTCATTATGCCTTTCAATAAGGCAGCCATACTACAGATGCTATAAGCAATAATGCAGCTACTTTGTGTGCTTGAATGCTCAGAGCTGGATTCACAAGCTGTGTGACTGCGCCTTGGCGAAGATGATTTCTGTATCTCTCGCTTAGAAAAGCCTGCCAGAAAACCTCAAGATTGAATGCGTGCTCTTGTCCTGTCTGTCAGCCTCAGGATACCATTAGAGGGTGTCTTGGGGACTGAGACAGTTCAACAAGCTCTTTAGGTGTATCCCATATCCAAGTCAAAAACTTTCTTGGTTTTTAGCACCACTTTGGGAAAACTAGCTAATTTTACCATATCAAAGTGCTTTTTCTTAGCAGGGGGCAGATGTCTTGAGTAAGGGATGGGCTTGGGAGCTGTTCCGAGTGCAAGAGGGACGAGGCTCCAGCCTGGTACCGTTGGCACTAGGCCAAGGATCAGTTTCGGAAGCAATGCATATTGTGGAGGGCTATCGGGTGGCCGCGGCAGCCAGGAGCTCCGCTCTGCTAACGAGGATGAGAAGTGACTGGAGCAAAGAAAGGCCTCGATGTTAGAGAGAACACACTCAACGAAAATGATATGCAGAGTGCAATTCCCCTGCAGGCTCCTGTCTCCTGCTTATACACTCCTGGGTTAAAAAAGTGAAGACTTAATTTCAGGAACTTAGGTTTACGCCAATATTTCAAGTCCGTTTACAGTAAGTGAAATATGTGAGCAGGGTTTTTTTTTTTTTTCTCTTTTTTTCCCTCTTTTCTTTCCTCTGGAGCTGTGGGGATGACATCTTAATGCCTGCATCCATCCCACTCCGTCCTCTGCGCTGACTGGCAGCACAGCCCCATACAAGCACTGTATTCCCTTTGAAATCTGTCATTACTGCCATTAATGGCCAGTTGTTATGTTAACAGCCCCTCGGCTGTTTAACGTGCCAAACTGGTTGTTAGCTGGAAGGTTATTACTTATTTAAACCTCGCGTGGGGGGAGGCGCTTGCATTAAGCGCGCCCTAGGCCGCTTCTGCCCCAAACCATGAGGAAAATGGTCTCACGGCTGCTTTTGGGGCTGCCCGGGGATTTGCTTTCTGTGTCCCCTGCCCCAGCGCTTTCGTTTCGGGTCCTGTCTTGCAGCTTGCAGCTCTCTGCAGTCGTCCGAGGAGGAGATCTGCCCTCTAAAAGCGTCAAGCGAAGGCCCCGCAATTACGCGCGACTCGGGTGCATTAAATAATGAGCCTCCTCGGATGCAGCGAAAAATATGAAAGTACAGCTGTGCTAAGCTCGTTGCAATGTAGGTCAATCACCCTTTTTCACTTAGGTTTTTAACTACGCAAACCCTGCTGAGCGCCCAATGACTACAAAGTGCTGTTTCATTCCTATTTAATTTTGGCAGCGTTTTACTGAAGAGCAGGCATTCGTGCAGCTAAATTATCTCCACCGTTTCTGGTTTTAACTCCAGCTCTGTGACACTAGATGTTGGAGTGCATATCTCTTAGTAAACACAAAGGATATGGTTTCTGGGTTTTTTATTTTATTTATTTATTATTTATTTGTAATTTTCCTAACCAGGCAGACAGATCATAAGAAAAGGATTAGCAAAACTAACATAGTGGGGTGGGATTTTTGTCCTAAAACACATCCATGAGCTTATTGGGGATGGAGTGGGAAAAGCTCTTTCCCACTCCCCTTCCCAGTTTGATAGTGGTTTGGCTTGTAAATGTGCTGCCGACATTAGAAGTATCACTGAACAGCTGTGAAGATGACTAGATCACTATTGCTTAAGGAAGAGGCAAATCATAGTTTTATTTCTCACACATTTGCTAGTGTGAAGACTTGAGACAAACTGAGTTTCTAAAACACCTCTATTGGACTGGATCTTGTAACTAATGAAAACTGACTACGGAAAGTGAAGTGTTCAACCGTGAGCATCGTGAAGATGTTGCCTCTAAAATATTTAGCCGGTGAAAAGGAGCAGGCTGGAAGAAGTGGAGCTCAGGCAGCAGCCTTTTCTTGTCCGACTGCTCTTGCACCAAAGGCAATTCGTATTTTAAAAAGTGATTACATAGGACTACTTAGAAATTCAAGGCAGACTTAAAATGTCTTGTGGTCTGGTACCGATTGGCAGATTCTGTTTCCCTCTTGTGCAAGGGAAAGTGCACATTAAATATTGCAGACAGCTAAAATACCAGCTCTTTAACTGTGTGTGAAAATACTCCAGATGGATATTTTCATGGGTAGTGTGATATAAGGTGTTTCCATAAATGACACCTAAGTATGCTTCTTGCCCAGCTTAATTAAATAAGGGTATATCTCTAAAGATTTAAGCACATTGAGTTTTCAGGAATAGTGAGGTATTTACGGAGGTGAGGCTTAAGAAGCTCAGCTTTCT